ATAAAAGTCAACTGTCTTCTGAACCAGTTTTTTTTTTTTTTTTTTTTTTTTTTTTTTTTTTTGTCATTGTAGGGAAGGCCACTCGGATGGTGGAACTTGCAAATGTTAAAATTGCTCCTGCAATCTGACATTCACATGTTGGCAAACTTCAACAATTGATTGGTGAATTCATTAGTTGATTTATACAAGTGTGTGTTTAAGAACAGGCAGAAACATGTGTCATGTTAATGTTGTAGAACTGTTGTATATGTAAATTAAGTGTTAAAACTGGTGTTGTTGCTGTCGTTGTAACTTGCAAGTCATTATTATGTAGATACATACAATATATGAAACCAAATAATAGCAAACAAACATCCATATTCATGTTCATGGTCATGCAAGTAGATCTTTTACTAAAGCATAGTAGCAAATTTCTTTTACTGATTGATGTTATCATCTAGAGCCATATTGGATTCACTTTCCAGAATGCGTTGGAGCATAAATATGTATATATGTAGCGGGAATCAAACATATAATAATAATTATAGAAATCAAAAGTTGACCACTTTATATAGCTATATTCACACACTCAGATGGGCGGAAGATTAAGTTCTTATTGGTTAATGTGGCGGATCATCCACAATGGCATCATGGTGGTGGAGACAGGTTGAACTTGAGCTGATTCCTCCTCCCTCATGGCTGCTCCAATGAATGGTCCACTGCAAAAGTTAACGTAATTACAAAACTACCCCTCATATGCACAGAAACTCGGGGGGGGGGGGGGGGGTGGGTGGGTTACCTAGTGTTTGCAAAAGAATCAACTGAACATGGATGTGGCTGAGGTGGATGCTGAGGTAATTGCAACATTCGAATTTGTTGCTCACTGGTCTTCTCATTCTCTTTCAACTGTGCCCAAATCAAATAGTTGCCAAAAAATGTCATCTTAACTTTGAAACATGTGCAAAAAGGTTGTCGTTTTCATGGGAACATTTAAAGTTTCATTACACTCCACGTTGAATGGAGTACAGTTTCTTAAAAGAAGTACCTTCTTAGAGAGTGAATTGTTTCTTTCTTGCAATGCCCTCTCCTGTCATATAAAAGAGAGATTTATTAGTCAATGACACATGTTCTCAAGTTATCAAAAATAGCGCCTCAACCTAAATTGTTTCAGGATTTCATAATTCCAAATCAATATAAATGTGTTTGGCAGCATAAGAGATGATACGGCTACCTTTTTATGAAGCTCAGAGATGGACTCGTGCATGAGTTGGTTCTGCATATTAGGGTGTATGGTGGCAATTAGTCCTTACTATATACATACAGAAAGCAGACATGTATTTTTGGAAGAACCAAAAGATGCTTACCTTCTTTGTCCGTATTCGCTTAAGAGCAGTCTCAAGTTGTTGCTCCACATTTTGAAGCTCTCTAAGGTTTAGTTGCTCTAGATCTTCCCCATCATAGTGCCTGAACATGTTCAAATGACATATGGTTATACAATCCTACAATAAAACGTTTTAAGACCATATACCTTTTCAAAATGGGTTTCAAGATTAGCACATTGATAAAGAATTCTTAATACTTGATTGATCTTAAATAAATAACAAGATACACGAGATTGTTACTAGACCCCTACAGTCGAAAAGGAGGATAGCGGATGCTCATGCTTGAGTGGAAATTTGTAAACAATGTTAGGGTAGTCTTTTTGATAAGATATCTACATGTTGGTGGGTAGACGGGGGGATGTAGTACGCAAACGTCGCCAACACAAAATTCTCCATGAACAAAGTGGACCTGTCAAACAGTCAAGCTCAACATCTTTGGTTTGTTGGTGTTGCGCTAGGTTGCCAAACAATTATATAGTAGCTATATTTTCACAAAATACCATTGTAGCTAAGCAAGCGCATGAGAGCATGTAGTTCGAGACTTGTCTCAACGTCTACATTAGCTATAGTCCTGTATTTAGCTTCAACAACGGATCTGGATAAAGCGGATTGTCGTTTGGATGACCAAGAGATGAGGTTCTCGCATAGGAAGACACAAAAACATGAATCTAGGCACCCTGTCCTTGAGTAGGTCATGTGGTATTGTAGACTTGTAATGCTTCAGTGAGATTTACGATTCGTAAAGAGTGGGGTCTTTCATGAGTGGTTTGTGAGAAGCAATTAATTCTCGGATAGTATCACCGAGAGTTGTGGCATCGTAGGATGTTATGGAAGCCAGAGAGAGAATGTGTTTTGCATACTAGGTTTGAGAGAGTGATAAGTCTGTATAGTCAAGGATAACGCTAATACCAAGAAGTGGTGAAGTGTACGAAGTTTGGTCAATGCGAGCTCGTGAGATAACATAACTATTATGCGATGTAACTGTTTGGGTCCGGAGGCGGTTAGCACAATGTTGTCCATATATAGTAATAGATATGCAATTTATTCATGCATCGAAAATTAAAAAATAAATACCACACAATCTGCAACGAGAACCACATGAAAGATAAACGTGTCAAAGCGTTGGTACTATTCATGTGGCGCTTGCTATCACACAATACATAGATTTCCATAGGCATAAAATGTGATATAGAGCTAAGGAGTCAACAATACATAAAAGGCCGATGCGTGTATTCATCAAGGTATTTTGCAAGAATGCTCTTTTGACTTCGAGTTACTGATTTCACTGAGGTTCTTTGCACGGTGATTGTATTGACAACCAGACTAAAGGATAATCACAATCAATATTGGTGGCTTGACATTTACTACAAGACATGCCTTGTATCGTTGTAGAGAGCCATCCAAGTAGAATTTGTGATGGAATAGCCACATACACCTAATAACAAAAGCATCTAGGGGTCTCAATACGTATTGTTAGTATGTAACACACTATATTCATCACGTATGCCAACCTTTTAGAGGGAGGCGGGGAGGGGCCATAGATGGATTTACGAGTGAATTTGGAAATGGGCAAGATGAAGGGCTATGACGAGACATGAGATTCAAAAACTTATTGGAGTTTCGCGCTTAGACCGAGTCACATTTTTTGGTGGTGAGGAAGGCGAAACAGGCTGGCCATTGGGGGAGGTGGTGTGAGTTATGCTATGGAAATAAGTGGGGGGCCATTGGGATGTTGGGTTGTTGGTAATTAGAGTATCATCGACCATTTAGTATTATTGGAATTAAAACGAGTGCTAATAAGGATTTAAATTATGATCAAATACAAGTTTAGAGGTGCGGAATCCATAATTATATATAAGGCGTGTTTGATCCCGAGCAACACGAAAAAAAAGGTTTATGGAGTTGTTCCCCCTTGTGATTGGCAATTCCCCAAAACCTCTACATGCTACTAGACCCAGAATACAATGGAAAATCTTGATAAAAAATACATGAATAAGGAAAGGATAGGCCAAAGGCATGTTAGGGTTTAAGCACTTCAACAAACAATTCAAACGATTTAACGCAGAGCAATAAATGCAAATGAAAATAAGAACACGGTGTCTAATGTGGTTCACACGATCATGGTGATTGGCTACGTCTACAAGCGAACAAGATAGATAGATAGATAGATAAATATATAAATAAATAGATGGATAGATAAAGAAGAGAAAGATTTTATTGGGTACTGTGAAATAGCTTCTTTTTTTATTTTAATTTTTTTAAAATTTTTATGTTACACGTTATACGAGTTCAAGGGGTATACATATACTAGTAAGTTGACCTAAAATCTGCCAATAAAGCGAGACCTAAAAAACTATGACATATATGGCCCATGAATCAATTCAGTATCATATCTGCTATAGAAACTAGCCCACGAAAAATTTCTTCCCGGACCGACTCCCCTTTATTCTAAAGCAGGACCTCATACTTGGTTTTCCTAGCGGCTATAGGGTCAAAAGGGTGAATCAGTCTCCACAATTTAACAAGGAAACTCACGCTGCCTTAGTAGGTCGCAACCAAGCTGATGGTCATTCTACAAACTATTTTTCAACTGCTAAAACTGCAACTTCCATTGTAGTTATCCGGATCGGATGAAGAAGAATATAATTTGTTGACTCTTGTTCCAAGGCATAGGGATGGATGAGCCCTTGGTGGTGGACCTACTCACCGATCAATGGGCGGGGTCGAGAGACAGCACCCCAAAACCTCTACATAATTTTATACCAGGAATGTAGTACGAAGCCTTAATCAAAATGTATGAATAAGGAAATGATAGGTATTGTGGGTCGACAAGAGGCACCTCATGTTGTCTTACAACCCAAGCTGCCTCGTTAGATTGCAACCATGATGCCTATCCGGTCGGTTCTTTAGAAGTTCCAACTACTTGGCAGGTATTTCTAGAAAACGGTTTTCAAGTGCTAAAGCCTTAATTTTCGTTGATCTTATCTAGATTTTGGATGAATAAATATATAAGTCGAGCTGTTTTTGTTTGTGGGATGTGTTCTATACTCGAATCCATGCTTCATAAGTTGATGACTCTTGTTCCAAGACATACAGAAGGAGGTCATCAAAGTGCATATCATGTATCCATTAACATGTGCTTCGATTTCATCCCATGGCATATATGTTGGGTTGGTTTTTATCTGATGGTAGTGTGTCATCGATGTGATGTAGGACCTTGTAACCACGAGCATGGAGTTGGAAAAGTTTGACCACATATAGTAGGTCACTTTGGAGTCATAGAGGATGCAGACCTTGTGCGGGATGTTTGATATTTTTATGCATGATGTAGCTTTGTCTCAAACTTTGCATTTCGAGTCATGACGAGTGGTGGTGCGCTTGATGGCACGTTGGCGGCCGAAGCGGTTTTAGGTTTAAAAGCCTAAGGCTATGATACCATAAAGGATTCTTAATATCTACTGATCTTGTCCACTAATTACATAACTAATTGTCCACTAATTACACGGACATATACATTAATAAAATACATTATATTGCTTTTAAGTGAATCTACCTTATGTTCTTTTCAAGAACTTCAATCTTTGCCTTAAGCTTGGAGGATTCAAGAGTCCAGCTTGCCTGTACTTACACATATTCTCAAAAAGTCAATATTTCAACCTGACACAGTTTTAAGGCAGTTATGCTCGATGTGAAAGCTGATTTAGACAGAACATAAGAAAATTGGACAGTTAATGACAATTTTCATAATGTTCCTTCAATTAATACTTTATCTAATAAAAGTTATAGTAACAAATTAATGCGATATATTCATGCACATGTATATATATACCTGTGTTTCGGTTTCAGGAGCAGTAAGCAATTTCTCTGCATACGAATACCTTTCATACCTCTCAAGAATCGTCTCCATACTGCATGTTTCAACCAAATGTAAGATTAATATACATGTGTATATATGCAAGAATTTTAATGAGCAGTTTACTATTGATTAACAATAAATTATATATAGACTACAATGCATTGTTAAATTAAATCTTCCAAGAAAGAAATTAAAAATGGTATTTTAAGACGTGTAATTAGAATAAAGTAGATAAAAGTACATGCGATTCAATTCGATATTCTGAACCATTTTCATCACATCAAATCATTAAAACCTAATCTGTGGCTCCTACTTAAGTATATATAGATGTCCTACTTGAGATACCTAAATCCTTTAAAGTAAAGCTAGCTACCATCTACATGTTCTCATGTTTTATGTACCAAATTTCTATATTATCTGTTCATCCAGAACATTGCGCCAGTCGCTCTTCATTTCAAGAACATGTATTTCAGGGCATTTTTGTAACAATTTTTCTTCCTTGGTATGAAATGGAATATAACCAATCCTCCTTTTAATTTGAAGTTATTTCTATTCATCAATTTGATTTTTAATTTGTCGTATATAATTAACTTAGGTATAGTTTTTAAGGTTAATTTGTTGGTTTAATTAAGATGATCATCTGCCAAAAAGAAGTACGACTTGAGACCCAAGACAGCTTTATGGGAATATCATAAAATCTCGAAGACCAAATTAGACGCTTTGAAGCTTTACAGCAATGGCATGCCAATGTCGATTACAACAATTTGTCTCAATTAATCATCATACGTTTAATTTTGTCATTTCCAATAACACAACTGCTAAAGTTACAAAGCAAGAGTTAAAGCAATACGTACACTTGTTAATTTTGCAGAAATTTATGTCATTTCTCTAACCTCTTTATATATACCAGGCTTCTGGCAATCATCACAGTCCGCTTTATCTTTGTTAGTTAATTATTCCAGTTGCATAACATGTAATTGTCCTCATATATAAGCATCTATCTTTCCATATATTTAGATTCAAGCCATTTTACATTTACCAAAAGCAGAACTTTAGCTCTTCAATTTCATTTCTGTATGATATTTCTAATTAACTGATGATAACGAATCTAACATGTTTACGTTCACAAGAAATATATCCAGGATGTTGAAGTACTTACCAGCAAAAGATATTCAAATTTAAAATTTGCAAAATCAATGGTAAGTTATTGATTAGCTTCAACGTATATAAAAACCCTAAATTTGAAAATTCAATCTTAGTCATATACGTTGAACTTTACAGACCTGAAGCATATATAAAAACTGAAGACCTCATATACAGTTCATATCATGCTAAGGACGATATAGAGGTTTTGAAAAGTTTGACAGAGAATATATCAACAACTGAGAGCTTGAATCGATGCAAATTCTTGCTTAATTTCTTGTGTTTTGTTCTTTGAAAACGAAATGAACAAAAATGGTAACTTGATTTTCTATGAACACTCGCAAGAGAAATAATTAATTACAATTTAAGGATGGAATATTCTTTGACGAATTGGTAACCTTAATTTTACTTTAATGCTTGATCTTTTAGCCTTCTCCGGCGAGATCTTTTTGCAAGATTGCTTGTAAAAAAAAAAAAAAAAAAAAAAACTTTGTGCTCGATCTAGAGAGGTTTGACGAACCCCCTAATTAAAACCCTGTCAATCGACCCTAAAGGAACTGAACTCTACCCCAAAAGATATGAATACAGATTATGCTAGATTCCAATATTAATCTTAGAGCTGAAATATTATATTTATTAAAAATCTTTTGAATTAGTACATATCATCTCCAACAGTTAGCCTAGGATACAACTTTTGTGATCAGTACTAGGTTGTCTTAAGTTGTTGCTTATGTACAAACAAATTAAAGTTGTAATCACTTTGAAGAAAATCTGGTACGATGATGTTAAGGCTGTAATGAGACAGCAATTAAGCAGCAGTGTCACACAGCTCAAGAAAACTCTTGAGAGTTCCAACATCAAAAACTTTTTTCAGTAACAATTTTTTAGTAATTTCAAACAAATAAAACAGTACACTACCCAGAAAAAAACAAATAACAAAATCCACCCAAGGGAAGGGGTTTCATACTGGACTAAATATAGTAATATATTATAATGAGTCTATATATGTATAATAATATATATATATAGATGCATGCAGAAAGGAGAGAGAGAGTGAAGAAAACCCAAAGGATTTGTGTCAGGATAACCAAAAGAATAAGAAAAAACCTCAAGAACAAACACAAGATTAAGAGGGTTAATTTGACCCTGATGGTATGAACTTGACCAAAAAAATTTTGATTTAGGGTTTAAATATTCATAGACTTCATGTGGTGCCTGTTCTTTTAGACTTTCTTATAAAAACATAAACAAAGCAAAATCAAGACAAAAATAACTTGAAATCTTGAACATATCCATACAGATATATATGGGAAATAACTTCTTAATGATTTATAAATCCATCTCAGACAATATAAAACCTGTCGACTTTTAAATGTATTTCAAGCCACTGATTTAAAAGAAGCTGCAGCAGCAGCAGAAGAAGAAGAAGAAGAAGAAGAAGAAGAAGAAGAAGAAGAAGAAGAAGAAGAAGAAGAAG